ACGACCCAGTCGTATCTATGGACGCGACCCAGTCGTTCATTCTAAATGTTCCATTGCCATACTGGCTGGCAACGTTCTTATCCCTTGCTAGCTAGCTAGCCAACTACGGCTAACTTACAGTCATGTCAAAAAGTGCAGCCAGAATAATAGCAAAGTAGCCGCATTTGCATTATTTCAAGCTGTTTTCTAGTGACATTTATTTGGATACATTCATAACAATGAACTAATGAGGCGCGATTTCACCGGGCATCAGGGGCGGTGTGTTCATTAGGGCGATATGGGCGACGCACTGCCAAACGGGAAAAGGAAGGGATTTTTTTTCTAATCAATTATATCACGGCAACAGTAGTTATCAGTGTTCTAATCTAGACGTCTGATCTGCCACTAAATGTCCAATCAGGCTAAAGTCGTGCTTCAAATGGCCCCGCCCGTTTTGGGGCGATTTCAGTCAGGTTGAAAATCGCCCAGAAGTCTCTCATAGCCTGTCATGTAAAATCTTTTTTTTTTCAAATATCAGAGCTTTCAATACAATCTCTATGGGTTCCGGGAGGGCTTGCACTTACGCGCTTTCATCATACGTAACATAACCATGAACGTAACTAAGAAAAGAGCGGGTAGCAGCGTCAATCAATTCACGTACTACTGCCACAACGATGAGGTTAGCAAGAACCGCCAAATCCTCAGCCGGCTAATCCAGTGTGTGAAGTTTTGCGAGTGTTTGAGTTAGCTTTGCGAGGCAAAGATGAAACTGAGGGCTCCACCAACCCTGGTATTTTTCTTGGACTTGTCAACTTTGTGGCACAATTAGATGAGGTGTTTGATGATCATCTTAAAAATGCTAAAGTTTTCAAGGGCACATCAAAGACCATTCAAAACGAGCTACTGGAGTGTATGCTAGCGGTCATGAGGGAACATATTGTGGAGGAGGTGAAGTCGGCGAACTTCGTAGCTATCCAAGCTGACGAGACCACGGACGTTTCTACACAGACGCAGCTGGTGCTTGTGCTGAGGTACATAGATAGCAAGAAGATTTTATTTTTTTCCTGGGGCTTTTTCACAAAATCATGCCCCACATCGACATTCTGTACCAGAAGCTACAGAAGAAGGACATCGATGCTGTCTTCATCAAACGTGCCCTCGACAGCTTCACAAGCAGTGTGCAGGCCATAAGGTAAGATTAAACAATATCATTCGATCTTTCTCAAAGCAGAGCTTTATTTGAAAATGTATGCATGAAAGGAGACATCATCATATTTACAAATCTATACAATTGGCCAGAATATGGTTGTTCATTTTTACAAAGCCATACAGATAGCTGTGTTTACCTTTTCTATAAATTATTTTCAAATTCTGTTTTCAGGCAAAATGTCTATCACTGTTCATTTTCACAAATCTATACAAGAGGGCAGAATATGGAAGTCTATAAAAATGTCTTATTACCAATAACTTGCATCAATGTTTTCAGTAGCCTCTATCAAAAGCTCCTGCTTGCTTGTTGTGAATTATGCTCAGGTGCACATATTTCCAATTCAACCATGAGGCCTTTTTGAAGCAAGTAATGTGTATATCAGTATTGACTTATATGCTGCCCCTGTCTTCATGTTGTTGCTGGACATATCTTTTTAAAAATGTGTGTAGGTCACCTAAATCATCAGAAAAATTGCCCCCCCTGAGAATTTTTTCAGGAGCCGCCACTGCCGGGCATAGAAAATGTGCTCACTCGTCAGGACACTGTTGTTCAGAGGAGCTAGCCAACAACACAGCTAACACAATCACTTAAAACTTAAGCTGGAAAAACTGCAAACTAGCTGTACTTGGTTTCATTCTCTTTTTTCGACTGAAATGTCTTTATATACAATTTATCCATAAAAATGATGCCAGCTGATTCATGATTTCAACTGGCTGAAAAACGCTGCCTGTCTGTCTCCTCCCGACTCCCCACATGTTCATTAGTATGGGACTGCTGGATATCGAATTTGAATATTGAAACAATGTTGCAAATGTCGAAGAGACAGACATCAAGGTTTATATAAATCTCTGCTGTTGAAAACTAAATGTTAGTCTAAAATAAATGTGAGATAATGTCTAGATGCTTTTTATAGTGGAGATCAAGTTTATAAAGTACCTGGCTGGGCTGATGAGACAGTGGATTGCGCAGTCAGATGGAACAGAGTAAGTAGGCATTTTAACATCATAGATTTTGCTGGTGGTAACTTGTAGAATAGACACCGGCTGGAATGTGGTTTTAACCAATCAGCATTCAGGATAAGACCCATCTGTTGTATACATTTTGGATAATGTTTTACAGCTTTGTCATTCAAATTTTTTTCCTTCAAAATCATCTTATTTAATTATTTCATATATTCTACGTGTGATAAAGCCACACAGAGGTCCAGGGATTATTACAGACACCTGTGGTAATCTGAAGTAGATTACATAAAATCCTTGAAAGATACCAAAATGCTGGTAGTTTACTAGTAAACTTTGAAAGTTTCCAGTAATATATCCTACCTTTGCTACCCTAAATCTGATTGATATGTTCAGATATGGTCATACTTCTACTGACTGTAGTGACTGTTAGTTACTGATGTCCGTAAGAAGTAGGCTAATCATGCTATCTCTTTCTGGAAGACAAACAATAGTAATGCACTGACAGATAAATACTATTTCTTGAGAATATAAAATACACATGTTTTACAGTACTTACAACATATGCAACAATTGTAATTGAACCTACAAAGGGTTATGTATTTCAAACTGTTACTTCTACAGTGGGATATATAAAGTACCAAATGGTTGCAGTCACAGTCAATAGAACCTCTGGTAGGATGGGTGATAGATAGAATGTTCAGTAAAGTATACAAACTGAGAATTTAGTCATATGAACTACAGTGGGGAAAAAAAGTATTTAGTCAGCCACCAATTGTGCAAGTTCTCCCACTTAAAAAGATGAGAGAGGCCTGTAATTTTCATCATAGGTACACGTCAACTATGACAGACAAAATGAGAAAAAGAAATCCAGAAAATCACATTGTAGGATTTTTTATGAATTTATTTGCAAATTATGGTGGAAAATAAGTATTTGGTCAATAACAAAAGTTTCTCAATACTTTTATATACCCTTTGTTGGCAATGACACAGGTCAAATGTTTTCTGTAAGTCTTCACAAGGTTTTCACACACTGTTGCTGGCATTTTGGCCCATTCCTCCATGCAGATCTCCTCTAGAGCAGTGATGTTTTGGGGCTGTCGCTGGGCAACACAGACTGAAACTCCCTCCAAAGATTTTCTATGGGGTTGAGATCTGGAGACTGGCTAGGCCACTCCAGGACCTTGAAATGCTTCTTACGAAGCCACTCCTTTGTTGCCCGGGCGGTGTGTTTGGGATCATTGTCATGCTGAAAGACCCAGCCACGTTTCATCTTCAATGCCCTTGCTGATGGAAGGAGGTTTTCACTCAAAATCTCACGATACATGGCCCCATTCATTCTTTCCTTTACACGGATCAGTCGTCCTGGTCCCTTTGCAGAAAAACAGCCCCAAAGCATGATGTTTCCACCCCCATGCTTCACAGTAGGTATGGTGTTCTTTGGATGCAACTCAGCATTCTTTGTCCTCCAAACACGACGAGTTGAGTTTTTACCAAAAAGTTCTATTTTGGTTTCATCTGACCATATGACATTCTCCCAATCCTCTTCTGGATCATCCAAATGCACTCTAGCAAACTTCAGACGGGCCTGGACATGTACTGGCTTAAGCTGGGGGACACGTCTGGCACTGCAGGATTTGAGTCCCTGGCGGCGTAGTGTGTTACTGATGGTAGGCTTTGTTACTTTGGTCCCAGCTCTCTGCAGGTCATTCACTAGGTCCCCCCGTGTGGTTCTGGGATTTTTGCTCACCGTTCTTGTTATCATTTTGACCCCACGGGGTGAGATCTTGCGTGGAGCTCCAGATCGAGGGAGATTATCAGTGGTCTTGTATGTCTTCCATTTCCTAATAATTGCTCCCACAGTTGATTTCTTCAAACCAAGCTGCTTACCTATTGCAGATTCAGTCTTCCCAGCCTGGTGCAGGACTACAATTTTGTTTCTGGTGTCCTTTGACAGCTCTTTGGCCTTGGCCATAGTGGAGTTTGGAGTGTGACTGTTTGAGGTTGTGGACACCGTGTCTTTTATACTGATAACAAGTTCAAACAGGTGCCATTAATACAGGTAACGAGTGGAGGACAGAGGAGCCTCTTAAAGAAGAAGTTACAGGTATGTGAGAGCCAGAAATCTTGCTTGTTTGTAGGTGACCAAATACTTATTTTCCACCATAATTTGCAAATAAATTCATTAAAAATCCTACAATGTGATTTTCTGGATTTTTTTTCCTCAATTTGTCTGTCATAGTTGACGTGTACCTATGATGAAAATTACAGGCCTCTCTCATCTTTTTAAGTGGGAGAACTTGCACAATTGGTGGCTGACTAAATACTTTTTTTCCCCACTGTATATTGAATTTATAATTTGCCAAATTGGTATACTATTTGGAATGTGGAATTTTCATAAACCAATCTGTAAACAGTCAAGTTTAGCTAGATATTTGTTTATACATGTTGCTGATGATTTCAATTGATAGTGTATGTACCAGGTCACTTCTCCTCTGCAACGTAAGGGTGTGACACTGTAATGACGACATGGCTTTGTTACGAAAGTATGCTTAAATATGTCAAAAGTATTTGAGAAAGCGCACCAAACAGACCTATTGGCCGGATTTTGAGTGGTACAATGTGTGGTTACCATCGTTAGACTAAATAGGTAAGGTACTGTACGTCATCATTGCATTTCTCTGAAACCATCTCTCCACACCAGCCAACATCATGGCAGCATTAGGACTCCTATGGCTTGTGGCCTGTGAGTATTTTTTACTTTTCAAGTAATCTTTTAAATTATTTTTATATTTAGGTTCATTTCCTGAACAAAATACTTTCCCTAAGTGTGTTAATTTTTCCATGCAGCCACAGCATCCATCCTTGTCAAATATGAAGACGCAAATTCTGAACACAAAAGTAAAGTATTTCTGAATATTTTTTTGTAGTGATTAGTAATTAGTATTTTGTCAATATATAATCAGTGTATAAAATACAGTATATACTTTTAAAACACAAATTATATTCTTAATAATAAACTCACTTAAACTTAGGGGATATTTTAAGGGTTCACACTTTATTGGTATTTTTTTTATGCAGAGATCTACCCAGCAAAGATCTTTGGACCGTCTAATGTGGCTGAAGGGGTAAAAGTCCATTTGAAATGTAGCACTACTGGCATCAGAGGACACCAGGACAATGTAAATGTTTACCTTTGCAAGAATGGAGTTGGGATAAGAATTGCAGCGCTGGACAACAGTGAAGATGAAACCATTTTCACCATGAAGGATGTTACAAAAGAAGACTCAGGCAACTACAGCTGTGTCTACATCAGAGATAAACTTCTACCGGATCAAGTGAACTCAACAGGAGATTATCTAGTCTTTCAGGTCTACGGAGATGGAGATTTGGAAGGTAAGATTCTGACAATGTTTGTGTAAATTGTATAATGTATGTTTTTATTGATTAGATGCGAAGATTGCTATACTATTATATTTGTCCATTTGTTTCAATGCAGTTATTAGAGTATTTGTCAATTAATATTTTATTTTGCCAATATATTGCATTGTAAAGAAGGGCTATATGTACTCTGATACCATTGTCTTACGTTAGATAGTGTCGATTCTGCCGGCACTGATCTGTCTCGTATCTCGCAAAGGGTAATGGGATAGATCAAAAGTACTGTAGTTCAGCTACAATGTGTTGTCTAACGTTCAGAAATTTTATCTAGGTGACATCGTTTGCTGAACCCCATTTCTGCCTCATAACAGTCTGAATTAATCTAAGATAAAACAATAAATCAGTCCATCATTTTGCTGTTTTTGTTGGTGAGGAAGACTTAGTCGCCCAATTTTACATCTATCTAAGAATTTCTGTGCTTCAAAAAGCAGTATTTCTCAAGTTTGACAATAAAGCTAGCATAAATGGGTCCAACATTAGCAGCCTGCTAGTGCTAGCTGAGCCAGTCACTGAAATGATGCTGCAAACCAACCAGCTACCTGCTTAGTGCTGCACAAACAATGTTGAATGCTTTCAACAAAAGCTAGCTAGCAAGCTACTGTAGTAGTGCTAATTCTAAAATTATTCTGAGTTTTCATGAAGCAGCTGTTCTGCCGTGAGTCACTGAGTAGCCTCCCGTCCCGAGTCAGCCGCTGTGATCAACAAAGCAAGGTAGAGCTAACTAGCTATGTCAGTAAACTAGCAAGCTAACGTTTACAACAGTAAACTAAGCAGCTGATCAAGTTGAAGTCAATGCAGTGGAGACCAATGTCCTTGCACATAGTTTTTGCAGGAGAGAGTTTTTATTTTGTCACGATGACAAACTATTAAATCACTTTCACAACTTTTTTAATAATTTAGCTAGTTATTCTGCCTATTCATGGAGAGTCATACGAGAGCGCAGTGATATAAAAATGTAGAACTATGTTTTCAGTATTTGAATAGCGGATGCTCAATATTCAAATGTGAATATGAGTTCCACATCCTACAAAACAGATTAATTGAGGGACGAGGATCGCATAGGAGTGACACAATCTGACGTAAGACAATGCTCTGATACAGCATCAAGTAAAACACCAGTCTAATATATCAATGGTCTTCACAGAGGGGCCAGAGAGTGGAGAAGAAGTTGGGGAAGCATATGGAGTTGAACATGTGAGACTGGTCAATGTAATCCGATTGATAAGTTCAGCTGTTGTGGTCATACTTCTTCTAACTCTATTGACTGTTAGTTACTGCTGTCCAAAAAGGTAGGCTAATCATAATGTGGCTTTCTGGAGGAGACAAACATTAATGAACTGACAGATAAATACTTTTTCTTGAGAAATATGTGGTTATATCATATAAAATACATGTTTTACTGTACTTACCACATATGGAACAATTGTAATTGAACCTACAAAGGGTTATGCATTTAAAACTGTTACTTCTACAGTGGGACACATAAAGTACCAAATGGTTGCACACACAGTCAGCTGAATCTCTGACTGGTAGGATGGGTGATAGGTAAAGTGTTCAATAAACTATACAAACTGAGAATTTTATCATATCAACTGTATTGAACTTGTAATTTGCCAAATTGGTTTACTGTTTGGAATGTGGAATATGGCATTTTCATAAACCAACCTATTAACAGTGAAGTTTATCAACATGTAATTATTGTTCTTTGGCGTAAAATGAACAGTTTAGTAACATAAGATATTTGTTTATATGCTGAAACTGTAGATTAATCAGTCCACTAGCAGTTCTGCAAGGAAAACCTGTTCATATTACTGTAAATGTGATAGTAAATAAATAAACAAATTTGATATAAAATTCTACATGTTTATGATGATTTCATTTGACGTCTATATGGGCCTGTATGTACCAGACTGTCTTCCTTAATGGCACTCCTCTTGAACATAAGGGTGTGACCACTGGCGTAGGGGAAACCTCCGCAGCCCCCATAAGGCGGGCAGCCCACAAGCTTTGGGGGCCCATGCGCCCGTCATCTCACACCTATGTCTAAATTGTATTACTTTTTAAAATAAATAATTTTGACAGTAACCCTCCTTTTTAATTTCCACATGTAGCAAGTGAAGTATTTGTGTTGTCCAGTCTACATGGTAGTAGGTGAGTCAGACAGACAATATAGTTTTCATGCATCTAATTAGCCTATTTCTCAGGGGCATCCCGCCTCGGCCTCCTCACCTACTGGGTATCAAGTTTTAAAAAGTTACGTGAATCAGGTTATATTCGGATGGAGAGTGATAAACAAAATACCAAGTGGCAGTGGCGGTGCGTGGGTAAAATCACCAGGGAAGGCAAGCCCCCCCCCAAAAAAAGAAATAAGTCATATTACAACCTATGTTGTGATAATTGCGTTGTTTGCTCTACAACCTGTTAGTTCATATGCCTTGACAACGTGATATATAGGCCTAAGGCCGAGACAATAAGAAGACACAGTGGCAGAATAAATTCAACCACACATTTGTTTCGTTACAAAACCGGAGAGCAACATCTGTCCGGTGAAGTCCACAAAGCATATTGCATGTAACAAACAGTTACATGACCTACAGCATGGTCAAGCAAGGTAATGTTTCAGACATTTTCGTACTACTAAACAACTATTGATTTAGAACCACTGAAAGTTACCGTAAGTCGCAAGAAAACAAGAGCTGCCTCCACTATTCCAGCACCATTTCAACATCATCTAATCACCTATGCTTAGTCTAATACAGTGACAACTAAAAGATACCAAAAACTATTTAGTCCAATCAACGTAAGCTAAATATGATGTGGCTGTCCATGGTACTGATTTCTGTGTGTGTGTGTAGGCAAGTAGAAAAAACATGTTGACTCACCCTACTTGTATAGAACGGCAATGCCATCTTCCTCTTTCATGTTGCCTAAACGGTCCATGACTCTGTCATACAGTACACGCTTTTAGTGTTTGTTGTCCTATGCTACCTGGCTAAAATGATTGCTTGCTAGCCTAACTTCCTTTCATGGGCAAAGATGCACCAGGCCAGCTAGTTAACATTAGCTTACTACATCTAGCTACATGTTGAACTTACATCCTCTCAGGCCAGGGGCACAATGTATGAATACGCTGTTATAATCATTGGCCAGCACGGAGAATTAAGTAAAACCACATGTCCATATCCCTATCTCCATCCATGGCTAATTTAGAAAAGGGATGATTTTAGCTAGCTAGCCACCAGAGGACAACGACACAACGAGATGCAACAATTCAAGTTTTTTTTTCTGTCAATGACGTTTGGCTTCTGATGTGATGTGATTGGTCTGAAGCCAAATCCAAACTGGCTTCCCTTGACACTTTTTATTTTGATGCACCAGGACCATTCACAGCTGAGCTCATTCAGTTTAGCTCAATGCTGATTGGTTATTATTATTATTAAAACATTTTATCAAGGGAGGCCAAATGCTCGCTGGCTTCCCTTGCAGTCAATGCTACAGGCAAAATCCTATTTGATCAAGCTCATGCCAAATTAACGAAGATAACCACATCAGCAAAGCTACCACCTCGTCCTCGACTGATGAAACACCATCACTGGTGGAAGCTAGTAGGCCTATTTGTATGCAGCAGTTAACACTAGCAGCCTCTCAGTCCTGACAGAGACATCACTTCCCGGCCCAAGAAATGACAGCGGCCTTGCTCCTCCTCTTTTTCCTCCCCTCGAAAATATTGACAGTTCTCCACAGATATTTAAATGGATGTATAAGTGTGAAGCATCCAGTTGGCATTTTCACCCACGACAAATAAATTTATTTGCAAATTATGGTGGAAAATAAGTATTTGGTCAATAACAAAAGTTTCTCAATACTTTTATATACCCTTTGTTGGCAATGACACAGGTCAAATGTATTTTTTTTATGCAGAGATCTACCCAGCAAAGATCTTTGGACCGTCTAATGTGACTGAAGGGGTAAAAGTCCATTTTAAATGTAGCACTACTGGCATCAGAGGACACCAGGACAATGTAAATGTTTACCTTTGCGAGAATGGAGTTGGGATAAGAATTGCAGCGCTGGACAACAGTGAAGATGATACTATTTTCATCATGAAGAATGTTACAAAAGAAGACTCAGGCAACTACAGCTGTGTTTACAGCAGAGATAAACTTCTACCCAGTCAATTGAAGTCAACAGGGGAGAATTTAGTAGTCTTTAAGGTCGATGGAGAATGGAAAGGTAAGATTCTGTCAATATTTGTGTATAATGTATGTTTGTAATGATAAGATTGCTATCCATACTGTATATTTGTCCATTTGTTGCAGTGCAGTTTGAATATTTGTCATTCAGACACATTTTCAGCCAATATATTGCTTTGTAAAGAAAGGCTACGTACTCAAGACTCAGCATCAAGTAAAACACCAGCTTCTACTTTACACCAGAGTCTAATATATCAATGGTCTTCACAGAGGGGCCAGAGAGTGGAGAAGAAGTTGGGGAAGCATATGGAGTTGAACATGTGAGACTGGTCAATGTAATCCGATTGATAAGTTCAGCTGTTGTGGTCATACTTCTTCTAACTCTATTGACTGTTAGTTACTGCTGTCCAAAAAGGTAGGCTAATCATAATGTGGCTTTCTGGAGGAGACAAACATTAATGAACTGACAGATAAATACTTTTTCTTGAGAAATATGTGGTTATATCATATAAAATACATGTTTTACTGTACTTACCACATATGGAACAATTGTAATTGAACCTACAAAGGGTTATGCATTTAAAACTGTTACTTCTACAGTGGGACACATAAAGTACCAAATGGTTGCACACACAGTCAGCTGAATCTCTGACTGGTAGGATGGGTGATAGGTAAAGTGTTCAATAAACTATACAAACTGAGCATTTTATCATATCAACTGTATTGAACTTGTAATTTGCTAAATTGGTTTACTGTTTGGAATGTGGAATATGGCATTTTCATAAATCAACCTATTAACAGTGAAGTTTATCAACATGTAATTATTGTTCTTTGGCGTAAAATGAACAGTTAGTAACATAAGATATTTGTTTATATGTTGAAACTGTAGATTAGACCACTAGCAGTTCTGCAAGGAAAACCTGTTCATATTACTGTAAAAGTGATAGTAAATAAATAAACAAATTTGATATAAAATTCTACATGTTTATGATGATTTCATTTGACGTCTATATGGGCCTGTATGTACCAGACTGTCTTCCTTAATGGCACTCCTCTTGAACATAAGGGTGTGACCACTGGCGTAGGGGAAACCTCCGCAGCCCCCATAAGGCGGGCGGCCCACAAGCTTTGGGGGCCCATGCGCCCGTCATCTCACACCTATGTCTAAATTGTATTACTTTTTAAAATAAATAATTTTGACAGTAACCCTCCTTTTTAATTTCCACATGTAGCAAGTGAAGTATTTGTGTTGTCCAGTCTACATGGTAGTAGGTGAGTCAGACAGACAATATAGTTTTCATGCATCTAATTAGCCTATTTCTCAGGGGCATCCCGCCTCGGCCTCCTCACCTACTGGGTATCAAGTTTTAAAAAGTTACGTGAATCAGGTTATATTCGGATGGAGAGTGATAAACAAAATACCAAGTGGCAGTGGCGGTGCGTGGGTAAAATCAACAGGGAAGGCAAGCCCCCACAAAAAGTAATGTTACAACCTATGTTGTGATAATTGCGTTGTTTGCTCTACAACCTGTTAGTTCATATGCCTTGACAACGTGATATATAGGCCTAAGGCCGAGACAATAAGAAGACACAGTGGCAGAATAAATTCAACCACACATTTGTTTCGTTACAAAACCGGAGAGCAACATCTGTCCGGTGAAGTCCACAAAGCATATTGCATGTAACAAACAGTTACATGACCTACAGCATGGTCAAGCAAGGTAATGTTTCAGACATTTTCGTACTACTAAACAACTATTGATTTAGAACCACTGAAAGTTACCATAAGTCGCAAGGAAACAAGAGCTGCCTCCACTATTCCAGCACCATTTCAACATCATCTAATCACCTATGCTTAGTCTAATACAGTGACAACTAAAAGATACCAAAAACTATTTAGTCCAATCAACGTAAGCTAAATATGATGTGGCTGTCCATGGTACTGATTTCTGTGTGTGTGTGTAGGCAAGTAGAAAAAACATGTTGACTCACCCTACTTGTATAGAACGGCAATGCCATCCTCCTCTTTCATGTTGCCTAAACGGTCCATGACTCTGTCATACAGTACACGCTTTTAGTGTTTGTTGTCCTATGCTACCTGGCTAAAATGATTGCTCGCTAGCCTAACTTCCTTTCATGGGCAAAGATGCACCAGGCCAGCTAGTTAACATTAGCATACTACATCTAGCTACATGTTGAACTTCCATCCTCTCAGGCCAGGGGCACAATGTATGAATACGCTGTTATAATCATTGGCCAGCACGGAGAATTAAGTAAAACCACATGTCCAAATCCCTATCTCCATCCATGGTTAATTTAGAAAAGGGATGATTTTAGCTAGCTAGCCACCAGAGGACAACGACACAACGAGATGCAACAATTCAAGTTTTTTTCTGTCAATGACGTTTGGCTTCTGATGTGATGTGATTGGTCTGAAGCCAAATCCAAACTGGCTTCCCTTGACACTTTTTATTTTGATGCACCAGGACCATTCACAGCTGAGCTCATTCAGTTTAGCTCAATGCTGATTGGTTATTATTATTATTAAAACATTTTATCAAGGGAGGCCAAATGCTCGCTGGCTTCCCTTGCAGTCAATGCTACAGGCAAAATCCTATTTGATCAAGCTCATGCCAAATTAACGAAGATAACCACATCAGCAAAGCTACCACCTCGTCCTCGACTGATGAAACACCATCACTGGTGGAAGCTAGTAGGCCTATTTGTATGCAGCAGTTAACACTAGCAGCCTCTCAGTCCTGACAGAGACATCACTTCCCGGCCCAAGAAATGACAGCGGCCTTGCTCCTCCTCTTTTTCCTCCCCTCGAAAATATTGACAGTTCTCCACAGATATTTAAATGGATGTATAAGTGTGAAGCATCCAGTTGGCATTTTCACCCACGACAAAATATGGTGATGAGAGGAAGCCCTGTGGCCGACAATAGGAGAAGATGGAGCCAGATGGATTTTGGCGGATATTATGCAAATGTAATAATCGATTAAACATTTGATCTCAATACAGTTATCTGTTCCCAAAGCTAATAATAAAAAGCCATTTAGCAGACGCTTTTATCCAAAGCGACTTACAGTCATGCGTGCATACATTTTTTTTGTGTATGGGTGGTCCCGGGGATCGAACCCACTACCTTGGCGTTCCAAGCGCCGTGCTCTACCAGCTGAGCTACAGAGGACCACAGCTAGAATATGTTACGAACAGATTGGACTAAATTTAGTAGATTTAACCCTTTGCCAAAGTAAAAAACGCACACTTCACAGACTAGGCGTTCCCTAACGGAAATATGCAAATACATGCTAGAACTGCCCAATAGGATCTCGCTAGCTCCTGCTTGGCTCTTCCCCCCTCCTTGCTTGTTCTGCTCACTATGACTCATTTGTTCCCATTGGAAACGACAGGCTGTGGTCGACCTTGGGATAGTTATAAAAATCTTTGGTTCATCTAGCGAGAGTGCCAGTCCTCCTTCTACGCCTTCTCCTGACGACTGCCAGAAACCCAGGGTCGCTCATGAAAGCAACCCCCCTTCTGAGAACACTGATAAGCCTACGAGTGATGAGACAGGAAGTCCTGACAGCGTGACTGCATAATTAAACAATCCCTAGTAAACTATTGTTTTGACAGCGGAATGATTGTATTATTTGGCATTAATAGACTGGTTTTATACAGCAGAAACTTTCAATCCAAGCTGCGAGAGAGCACGAGGCCGGTAACGCCTTGATCACACCGACAGCATCAATGCACAAAATAGTAAGCAGCATCATCTGGATATGTGTGCAACAAAAGTTCAACATTCACCTTCTGCTACCATTTCTGTCAAGCCGTCTACGCATACAGTTTGACGCATACGTTCGATAAATCCAACTTATGCGCCACACAGAACACACTGCAACTGCCTCTGCAACGCAATGCTGCAAGGCAAACAAATGTACATCTGGTGTAACCAAAATGCAATGACGTTGTCGGTGTGATCGAGAAGAAAGAGACAATTTATGCTTGATCCGAAAATGTGGTCGGAGGTGCCATATGGAGGGTGTGAAGCAGTTGGCATGCAGAGGCTAAATCTAGCTCCGTACAACATTGCCGTGCACCTCTCAAATGTTGTAACAATGCGGAGGGCTCCATATAGCTCCGCATTGACAACATTTGTTGATGGTAGGTGGGGGCGGGAGGTCCTGTATAAACACAGACTCACTTCCTTGACAACTTCCCTCTCAACAGCTCTGCTCCACAAAGAGCAAGAAGTATGAATGCCCTCACTTCTGCAGAGGCCGTATCACAGTAAATGCTGTAGGGCCACTGCAGATGAGGGATTGACCATGCATAGCCTTTGAGGTAGGCTATCAGCCTACAGGACAGTTGTATATTTACAGTTGTACATTTGAAAGCTAATAGGAAGACTGTGTTACACATTGCAAAAAGATCTAACACTGTCACTCCCCATAGCTTACAAAGCTTAAAACAGACTCAAATATCAAATGTTGTTTAAAACAAATGTCCACTTGAGATACCCAACCTACACTATTAATCACTACATATGAATCCCACAGCCTCTACTCTCTAACTTTACTGACACAGTTATCAAGGTGGCAGTGTACTAGAAAGTCAAAGAAGATGATAAAGTAGTAACCCTCTATTAGGATTAGACCCATCCGTTTTATACATTTTGGATAATGTTTTACAGCTTTGTCATTCTTTTATTTTTATTTTTTTATCAGCTTATTTAATTATTTCATATATTTTACATGTGATAAAGCCACACAGAGGTCCAGAGATTATTACAGACACCTGTGATAATCTGAAGTAGATTACATAAAATCTTTGAAAGATACCAATATGCTGGTAGTTTACTGGTAAACTTTGAAAGTTTCCAGTAATATACCCTACCTTTGCAACCCTAAATCTGATTGATATGTTCAGATATGGTCATACTTCTACTGACTGTAGTGACTGTTAGTTACTGATGTCCGTAAGAAGTAGGCTAATCATGCTGTCTCTTTCTGGAAGACAAACAATAGTAATACACTGACAGATAAATACTATTTCTTGAGAAATATGTGGTTATACCATATACAATGCACATGTTTTACAGTACTTACCACATATGGAACAATTGCAATTGAACCTACAAAGGGTTATGTATTTCAAACTGTTACTTCTACAGTGGGATACATAAAGTACCAAATGGTTGCAGTCACAGTCAATAAAACCCCTGGTAGGATGGGTGATAGATAGAATGTTCAATAAAATATACAAACTGAGTATTTTGTCATATAAACTATATTGAACATATAATTTGCCAAATTGGTATACTATTTGGAATGTGGAATTTTCATAAACCAATCTGTAAACAGTCAAGTTTAGCTAGATATTTGTTTATACATGTTGCTGATGATTTCAATTGATAGTGTATGTACCAGGTCACTTCTCCTCTGCAACGTAAGGGTGTGACTCTGTAATGACAAAATGGCTTTGTTACGAAAGTATGCTTAAATATGTCAAAAGTATTTGAGAAAGCGCACCAAACAGACCTATTGGCCGGATTTTGAGTGGTACAATGTGTGGTTACCATCGTTAGACTAAATAGGTAAGGTACTGTACGTCATCATTGCATTTCTCTGAAACCATCTCTCCACACCAGCCAACATCATGGCAGCATTAGGACTCCTATGGCTTGTGGCCTGTGAGTATTTTCTACTTTTCAAGTAATCTTTTTAATTATTTTCATATTTAGGTTAATTTCCTGAACAAAATACATTCCCTAAGTGTGTTAATTTTTCCATGAAGCCACAGCATCCATCCTTGTCAAATGTGAAGACGCAAATTCTGAACACAAAAGTAAAGTATTTCTGTATATATTATTTGGTAATTAGTGATTCGTGTTTCGTCAATCAGTGTATAAAATACAGTATATACTTTTAAAACGCAAATTATCTTCTTAATAATAAACTCACTTACACTTACGGGAAATTCTAACTTTCAAAAAATGTTTTAAGGGTTCACACCTTATTGGTATTTTTTTTATGCAGAGATCTACCCAGCAAAGATCTTTGGACCGTCTAATGTGGCTGAAGGGGTAAAAGTCTATTTTAAATGTAGCACTACTGGCATCAGAGGACACCAGGACAATGTAAATGTTTACCTTTGCAAGAATGGAGTTGGGATAAGAATTGCAGCGCTGGACAACAGTGAAGATGTAACCATTTTCACCATGAAGGATGTTACAAAAGAAGACTCAGGCAACTACAGCTGTGTTTACAGCAGAGATAAACTTCTACCCAGGCAATTGACGTCAACAGGGGAGAATTTAGTAGTCTTTAAGGTCGATGGAGAATGGAAAGGTAAGATTCTGTCAATATTTGTGTATAATGTATGTTTGTAATGATAAGATTGCTATCCATACTGTATATTTGTCCATTTGTTGCAGTGCAGTTTGAATATTTGTCATTCAGACACATTTTCAGCCAATATATTGCTTTGTAAAGAAAGGCTACGTACTCAAGACTCAGCATCAAGTAAAACACCAGCTTCTACTTTACACCAGAGTCTAATATATCAATGGTCTTCACAGAGGGGCCAGAGAGTGGAGAAGAAGTTGGGGAAGCATATGGAGTTGAACATGTGAGACTGGTCAATGTAATCCGATTGATAAGTTCAGCTGTTGTGGTCATACTTCTTCTAACTCTATTGACTGTTAGTTACTGCTGTCCAAAAAGGTAGGCTAATCATAATGTCGCTTTCTGGAGGAGACAAACATTAATGAACTGACAGATAAATACTTTTTCTTGAGAAATATGTGGTTATAACCATATAAAATACATGTTTTACTGTACTTACCACATATGGAACAATTGTAATTGAACCTACAAAGGGTTATGCATTTAAAACTGTTACTTCTACAGTGGGACACATAAAGTACCAAATGGTTGCACACACAGTCAGCTGAATCTCTGACTGGTAGGATGGGTGATAGGTAAAGTGTTCAATAAACTATACAAACTGAGAATTTTATCATATCAACTGTATTGAACTTGTAATTTGCTAAATTGGTTTACTGTTTGGAATGTGGAATATGGCATTTTCATAAATCAACCTATTAACAGTGAAGTTTATCAACATGTTATTATTGTTCTTTGGCGTGAAATGAACAGTTTAGTAACATAAGATATTTGTTTATATGTTGAAACTGTAGATTAGACCACTAGCAGTTCTGCAAGGAAAACCTGTTCATATTACTGTAAAAGTGATAGTAAATAAATAAACAAATTTGATATAAAATTCTACATGTTTATGATGATTTCATTTGACGTCTATATGGGCCTGTATGTACCAGACTGTCTTCCTTAATGGCACTCCTCTTGAACATAAGGGTGTGACCACTGGCGTAGGGGAAACCTCCGCAGCCCCCATAAGGCGGGCGGCCCACAAGCTTTGGGGGCCCATGCGCCCGTCATCTCACACCTATGTCTAAATTGTATTACTTTTTAAAATAAATAATTTTGACAGTAACCCTCCTTTTTAATTTCCACATGTAGCAAGTGAAGTATTTGTGTTGTCCAGTCTACATGGTAGTAGGTGAGTCAGACAGACAATATAGTTTTCATGCATCTAATTAGCCTATTTCTCAGGGGCATCCCGCCTCGGCCTCCTCACCTACTGGGTATCAAGTTTTAAAAAGTTACGTGAATCAGGTCATATTCGGATGGAGAGTGATAAACAAAATACCAAGTGGCAGTGGCGGTGCGTGGGTAAAATCACCAGGGAAGGCAAGCCCCCCACCCCCCCAAAAAAAATAAGTCATATTACAACCTATGTTGTGATAATTGCGTTGTTTGCTCTACAACCTGTTAGTTCATATGCCTTGACAACGTGATATATAGGCCTAAGGCCGAGACAATAAGAAGACACAGTGGCAGAATAAATTCAACCACACATTTGTTTCGTTACAAAACCGGAGAGCAACATCTGTCCGGTGAAGTCCACAAAGCATATTGCATGTAACAAACAGTTACATTACCTACAGCATGGTCAAGCAAGGTAATGTTTCCGACATTTTCGTACTACTAAACAACTATTGATTTAGAACCACTGAAAGTTACCTTAAGTCGCAAGAAAACAAGAGCTGCCTCCACTATTCCAGCACCATTTCAACATCATCTAATCACCTATGCTTAGTCTAATACAGTGACAACTAAAAGATACCAAAAACTATTTAGTCCAATCAACGTAAGCTAAATATGATGTGGCTGTCCATGGTACTGATTTCTGTGTGTGTGTGTAGGCAAGTAGAAAAAACATGTTGACTCACCCTACTTGTATAGAAACGGCAATGCCATCCTCCTCTTTCATGTTGCCTAAACGGTCCATGACTCTGTCATACTGTACACGCTTTTAGTGTTTGTTGTCCTATGCTACCTGGCTAAAATGCTTGCTCGCTAGCCTAACTTCCTTTCATGGGCAACGATGCACCAGGCCAGCTAGTTAACAGTATCATACTACATCTAGCTACATGTTGAACTTCCATCCTCTCAGGCCAGGGGCACAATGTATGAATACGCTGTTATAATCATTGGCCAGCACGGAGAATGAAGTAAAACCACATGTCCAAATCCCTATCTCCATCCATGGTTAATTTAGAAAAGGGATGATTTTAGCTAGCTAGCCACCAGAGGACAACGACACAACGAAATGCAACAATTCAAGTTTTTTTCTGTCAATGACGTTTGGCTTCTGATGTGATGTGATTGATCTGAAGCCAAATCCAAACTGGCTTCCCTTGACACTTTTTATTTTGATGCACCAGGACCATTCACAGCTGAGCTCATTCAGTTTAGCTCAATGCTGATTGGTTATTATTATTATTAAAACATATTATCAAGGGAGGCCAAATGCTCGCTGGCTTCCCTTGCAGTCAATGCTACAGGCAAAATCCTATTTGATCAAGCTCATGCCAAATTAACGAAGATAACCACATCAGCAAAGCTACCACCTCGTCCTCGACTGATGAAACACCATCACTGGTGGAAGCTAGTAGGCCTATTTGTATGCAGCAGTTAACACTAGCAGCCTCTCAGTCCTGACAGAGACATCACTTCCCGGCCCAGGAAATGACAGCGGCCTTGCTCCTCCTCTTTTTCCTCCCCTCGAAAATATTGACAGTTCTCCACAGATATTTAAATGGATGTATAAGTGTGAAGCATCCAGTTGGCATTTTCACCCACGACAAAATATGGTGATGAGAGGAAGCCCTGTGGCCGACAATAGGAGAAGATGGAGCCAGATGGATTTTGGCTGATATTATGCAAATGTAATAATCTATGAAACATTTGATCTCAATACAGTTATCTGTTCCCAAAGCTAATAATAATATGCCATTTAGCAGACGCTTTTATCCAAAGCGACTTACAGTCATGCGTGCATACATTTTTTTTGTGTATGGGTGGTCCCGGGGATCGAACCCACTACCTTGGCGTTCAACGCGCCGTGCTCTACCAGCTGAGCTACAGAGGACCACAGCTAGAATATGTTACGAACAGATTGGACTAAATTTAGTAGATTTAACCCTTTGCCAAAGTAAAAAACGCACACTTCACAGACTAGGCGTTCCCTAACGGAAATATGCAAATACATGCTAGAACGCGCCAATAGGATCTCGCTAGCTCCTGCTTGGCTCTTCCCCCCTCCTTGCTTGTTCTGCTCACTATGACTCATTTGTTCCCATTGGAAACGACAGGCTGTGGTCGACCTTGGGATAGTTATAAAAATCTTTGGTTCATCTAGCGAGAGTGCCAGTCCTCCTTCTACGCCTTCTCCTGACGACTGCCAGAAACCCAGGGTCGCTCATGAAAGCAACCCCCCTTCTGAGAACACTGATAAGCCTACGAGTGATGAGACAGGAAGCCCTGACAGCGTGGAGTCCGAGTTTCAATGTGTAATATAAATAGGCTACCAGCTAATACTGTATACAGCTATAGATAGACTAGTAGGCTAGACTGCGTTGTCTGCATAATTAAACAATCCCTAGTAAGCTATTGTTTTGACAGCGGAATGATTGTATTATTTGGCATTAATAGACTGGTTTTATACAGCAGAAACTTTCAATCCAAGCTGCGAGAGAGCGCGAGGCCGGTAACGCCTTGATCACACCGACAGCATCAATGCACAAAATAGTAAGCAGCATCATCTGGATATGTGTGCAACAAAAGTTCAACATTCACCTTCTGCTACCATTTCTGTCAAGCCGTCTACGCATACAGTTTGACGCATACGTTCGATAAATCCAACTTATGCGCCACACAGAACGCACTGCAACTGCCTCTGCAACGCAATGCTGCAAGGCAAACAAATGTACATCTGGTGTAACCAAAATGCAATGACGTTGTCGGTGTGATCGAGAAGAAAGAGACAATTTATGCTTGATCCGAAAATGTGGTCGGAGGTGCCATATGGAGGGTGTGAAGCAGTTGGCATGCAGAGGCTAAATCTAGCTCCGTACAACATTGCCGTGCACCTCTCAAATGTTGTAACAATGCGGAGGGCTCCATATAGCTCCGCATTGACAACATTTGTTGACGGTAGGTGGGGGCGGGAGGTCCTGTATAAACACAGACTCACTTCCTTGACAACTTCCCTCTCAACAGCTCTGCTCCACAAAGAGCAAGAAGTATGAATGCCCTCACTTCTGCAGAGGCCGTATCACAGTAAATGCTGTAGGGCCACTGCAGACGAGGGATTGACCATGCATAGCCTTTGAGGTAGGCTATCAGCCTACAGGACAGTTGTATATTTACAGTTGTACATTTGAAAGCTAATAGGAAGACTGTGTTACACATTGCAAAAAGATCTAACACTGTCACTCCCCATAGTTTACAAAGCTTAAAACAGACTCAAATATCAAATGTTGTTTAAAACAAATGTCCACTTGAGAAACCCAACCTACACCATTAGTCGCTAAATATGAATCCCACAGCCTCTACTCTCTAACTTTACTGATACAGTTATCAAGGTGGCAGTGTACTAGAAAGTCAAAGAAGATGATAAAGTAGTAACCCTCTATCAGGATTAGACCCATCCGTTTTATACATTTTGGATAATGTTTTACAGCTTTGTCATTCTTTTATTTTTATTTTTTTATCAGCTTATTTAATTATTTCATATATTTTACATGTGATAAAGCCACACAGAGGTCCAGAGATTATTACAGACACCTGTGATAATCTGAAGTAGATTACATAAAATCCTTGAAAGATACCAATATGCTGGTAGTTAACTGGTAAACTTTGAAAGTTTCCAATAATATACCCTACCTTTGCAACCCTAAATCTGATTGATATGTTCAGATATGGTCATACTTCTACTGACTGTAGTGACTGTTAGTTACTGATGTCCGTAAGAAGTAGGCTAATCATGCTGTCTCTTTCTGGAAGACAAACAATAGTAATACACTGACAGATAAATACTATTTCTTGAGAAATATGTGGTTATACCATATACAATGCACATGTTTTACAGTACTTACCACATATGGAACAATTGTAATTGAACCTACAAAGGGTTATGTATTTCAAACTGTTACTTCTACAGTGGGATACATAAAGTACCAAATGGTTGCAGTCACAGTCAATAAAACCCCTGGTAGGATGGGTGATATATAGAATGTTCAATAAAATATACAAACTGAGTATTTTGTCATATAAACTATATTGAACATATAATTTGCCAAATTGGTATACTATTTGGAATGTGGAATTTTCATAAACCAATCTGTAAACAGTCAAGTTTAGCTAGATATTTCTTCATACATGTTGCTGATGATTTCAATTGATAGTGTATGTACCAGGTCACTTCTCATCTGCAACGTAAGGGTGTGACTCTGTAATGACAAAATGGCTTTGTTACGAAAGTATGCTTAAATATGTCAAAAGTATTTGAGAAAGCGCACCAAACAGACCTATTGGCCGGATTTTGAGTGGTACAATGTGTGGTTACCATCGTTAGACTAAATAGGTAAGGTACTGTACGTCATCATTGCATTTCTCTGAAACCATCTCTCCACACCAGCCAACATCATGGCAGCATTAGGACTCCTATGGCTTGTGGCCTGTGAGTATTTTCTACTTTTCAAGTAATCTTTTTAATTATTTTCACATTTAGGTTAATTTCCTGAACAAAATACTTTCCCTAAGTGTGTTAATTTTTTCCATGAAGCCACAGCATCCATCCTTGTCAAATGTGAAGACGCAAATTCTGAACACAAAAGTAAAGTATTTCTGTATATATTATTTGGTGATTAGTGATTCGTGTTTCGTCAATCAGTGTATAAAATACAGTATATACTTTTAAAATGCAAATTATATTCTTAATAATAAACTCACTTACACTTACGGGAAATTCTATCTTTCAAAAAATGTTTTAAGGGTTCACACCTTATTGGTATTGTTTTTATGCAGAGATCTACCCAGCAAAGATCTTTGGACCGTCTAATGTGACTGAAGGGGTAAAAGTCCATTTTAAATGTAGCACTACTGGCATCAGAAGACACCAGGACAATGTAAATGTTTACCTTTGCAAGAATGGAGTTGGGATAAGAATTGCAGCGCTGGACAACAGTGAAGATGATACTATTTTCATCATGAAGGATGTTACAAAAGAAGACTCAGGCAACTACAGCTGTGTTTACAGCAGAGATAAACTTCTACCCAGTGAATTGAAGTCAACAGGGGAGAATTTAGTAGTCTTTAAGGTCGATGTAGAATGGAAAGGTAAGATTCTGTCAATATTTGTGTATAATGTATGTTTGTAATGATAAGATTGTTATCCCATACTGTATATTTGTCCATTTGTTGCAGTTGCAGTTTGAATATTTGTCATTTCAGACACATTTTCAGCCAATATATTGCTTTGTAAAGAAAGGCTACGTACTCAAGACTCAGCATCAAGTAAAACACCAGCTTCTACTTTACACCAGAGTCTAATACATCAATGGTCTTCAAAGAGGGACTAAAGAATGTGGGAGCAAGAGTGGCAGCAGCCTTGGTCCTCCTGTTTCTGATGCTGTCTGTACTGCTGTTACTGTGGAGGTACTGGGGGATCCTGAAACAAAGTAAGTGAAGTTGACAGTCTCTGTTTGGTTTAGGCCAGGAATCAATTCTTAACACTGTAACTGGACAGCCGAAAATTCAGCTTTTAAAAGCATTTTCCCCGCCGTTCGCGGAGATCGCATTCACAAAACGCTGCAGATGACGGCTCAATCGGAAATTCCCTTTTAATGTCAAGCAAGCAATGTGGAATTTGGAATTTTGATAAACCAATCTGTAAACAGTCAAGTTAAGCAATATATTTGTTTATATATTGTAACTGTAGATTAGTCCACTAGCAGTTCGCATTCACAAAATGCTGCAGATGAGGGCTCAATCGGAAATTCCCTTTAAATGTCAAGCGAGCTATAACGCGGCTCTAATGCAGATATTATTGAATCCCAGCCTTACAATCCCCATGTCTAGCTATGTGACATGGTGGGGGAAAGTGAACAGATGCTTGACGTTAAACTAAGTGTCTATGTATAGTAACACAATGGTTTAAGTCATTCCTTACTGTTGCTTTCTGTTACAGTGATAAGCAGTGACCATCGACCGAGGTACAGAAAGCCTACCATATAAAAACAAAATACTACTTGATTTATCAATGTCCACATTGTTGAGACAGGGTTAAAATATTTGTACTCTTCCCTTAGTGAGAATCAGGATACGGATCAAACCTACAGTCTAATCTCAGTTGTACCAGGTACAGTATATCAGTTCATATTTTAACATAGCATATTTTGCATCACATATAGTTCATTTTCTTTTAATAAAGTTCTTTAAGTACTAAGTTATACTGTATGTTTTCTGTCTTTGATTTTCTTATGCTGGATGTTCTAGTCGCAGCTGGTGTAATGTAAGTTTCTCTTCAATTGCATTTTTTTTTTATGTTATGCAATT